CGACCGTAAGAATTTTGACCGATTAATACAATCAGTTAAACGGTTTAAAAAGTAATTTAATTATAAATTTTTTTAGTAATTTATCAAAATATTTAAAAAGGTTTGCTGCATGGTTAAAAATACGCTACACATATTAAAAAAAATTGTTTTTTTAGGGGGAAAAAACATAAGTCGCGTATAAGTCGCATTTTATTATTTCATTCAGAAATAGGCCTAATGCCAACGCAAAATGTTTACAAACATTGTAATAAACGCTGTAAACATAGCTAGGCTATTTTAGTTCCCCTCACTCCACAACAAATCCTTTCAATTAACAGTATTTAGAAAAGAACAAGAATTAAAAATATAAGAAGCTATAGCAATATAAACGACAAGCCAAAACTAATTCATGGCTAAAACGAAACTGAAACCAACGTTGGGTCTCATTCCACACAAAATCAAATGTTTTCGTCCGCGTTCTGTATTTGAATGCCAAAATATTATTTATTATGTAGCCTACTTCACGCGTTACAATATCCACGTAAAACAAAATGTTTTGCATAACATCACGGCAATACGGTGATAACGCTTAACGGCACAGATTTTACTACCTACATTTTTTTTTCCATATGTTTGACTGACTGTATTTTATTATGATAATGAACAGGCTGCATTGTCAAGGTAGCAAAACGTAACTGTGTGTGTGCTTGCGGCGCCGGCGCAATCACTTCAATTTTTTCCTTCTAACAGTGGAAGCAACTACTTTTTTTTAGTCATAAAGATAATCGGAATTGTAAAAGGTTTGCCTTTATTTGTGTACATTCACAATAAAAACAAATCTTTGTGCTTTTGTAAAATAAGCCTAACGAAAAATAGGATCCGGCTTTCTGCCGTCTGGTTTCCTTTCGCGCAGCACAAAAATGAACCGAAACTCTGCATACTAGGCTACTTGTTGCACAGTTTCTCGTATAGGCCTGTTCATTCGTTTAATATACTGTATATATATATATATAATGTTTTTCTCCGCTCGCAGAAGCGCTGCAGGTGCATGTGAAATGATATGACCATATGAATCCTCATACTGTTGTCTGCTACTTCTTGCATGTGTAAAATTAATCCCCGCAAAACAAATGTTAGCATTTTTAACGGGTCACAGACACTTATCCTTTCTAATTTAATTCAATTCTAATTTGTGATGTAATATGATGACCATGTAAATCCTCATGTTCTGTTGTTTGCTGCTTTTGCGCATGTAGAATTAATCCCCGGGAAACAAATGTTAGTATTTTTAAATGTTTGACTGACTGTATTTTATTATGATAATGAACAGGCTGCATTGTCAAGGTAGCAAAACGTAACTGTGTGTGTGCTTGCGGCGCCGGCGCAATCACTTCAATTTTTTCCTTCTAACAGTGGAAGCAACTACTTTTTTTTAGTCATAAAGATAATCGGAATTGTAAAAGGTTTGCTTTTATTTGTGTACATTCACAATAAAAACAAATCTTTGTGCTTTTGTAAAATAAGCCTAACGAAAAATAGGATCCGGCTTTCTGCCGTCTGGTTTCCTTTCGCGCAGCACAAAAATGAACCAATCTTGTCGGTTAACGGTTAATAATCGGTTAACAAGCGCCGGTTAGGAAAAATAACCGAAATGAACATCCCTAGTTTATACCTTTAAAATTGAGCTTCAACCATGTAAACATAATTTACATCCACTTAGTTTGCACTTACTACACATTAAGGTCAATATCCGTATGATTTACTTTATAAATAAACATTTGTACAAAGGCTTTAATTTGTAATAATATTCATAAATATAAAAGACGACACTTTCAAGTAAATAAGTTGGCATCTTTAAGAATAACAGGATATGTGAAAAAAAAAAACCTAAACAAAAACATTCGTAAGGTTTCGTGAAACCTGTAACATGCCTGTATTTCTTGTCTACTCAACTTGACTGTCGTACATTTGCCAGTGCTAAATTTAGACACAACAAAAAATTGACCAAACACCTTGTGCTTGCACTCTATAAATAATATAAAAGCTATATTACATCAGGAAGACAAGAGGTGCTCAATACCCAATGTCCTAGATGACTGATACATACATCACTTGAATGCTCAAAATGTCTATCATGGAAATGGCCAAGGACAGACAAGTGAGATGAGTCCTGTCTTATTTGACACTTCATTCATTTCAGTGTTAAACATGAAGATAAACTGCATACACCTTCAAGTCATTTCAAACACTAGATTAGACCAGAATACAGACATGGGCTATTAATATAAAATGCTGTGCAGCAACATTTGAAGATGATAGGTGATTCTGACTATTCAATTTGATATGAATCTGAGGCAATCCATCTTCTTTTTAGACTACAAAACATGTCCTCAGTGATATTTATCTCTTATTTAAAGGACTTGAGAGTATGAAAAAAGCAAATTTTTACCATCAGAACTGATCACACTTGTTCTTTTTTTTCCTTCAATTTATGATGTTGAAATCCCTAACCTCAAGTATGAGCAAATATAATAAACAACCTCAGAGGGCGACCCAACTAAAGCACTGACATCTATATATACAGAATCAGAGTTATAAATAGCTGCATGTTTAGTGTTTTTGCTTGATCGGTTAAATTTGTTCCTGCTGTTCATGCCACCTGAGCAACATCACGTGTCTCTACCGAGACAGCAGAGATCAGACACCTTCTCAACTGCGGCTGAGGTTTTAGCATTGATTTGACCAAAGCCGAGCTAGTATTCCATTGTAAAATAAAGGCGTTATATGGCCAGTAGTGCTAGATATTAATAAATGGATCAAGTGTATTTATTTTAACTATATAACTGCAAGTTATTACTTTCAATGATGTCTGCCTAAGAGTTGTATATTTAAAAAGGTTAGCCTAAATTATCCACTACCATTCAAACATTTGGGGTCAGATAAATAAAATACTTTTATTTATTGATGCATTATACTGATCAAAAGTGACCATAAAGACATTTATAATCTTTACAAAAGATTTCTATTTCAAATAAATGCAAAAATATTAGGCAGCACAACTTCCAGCTGGAATAAAAATAAGAAATGTTGGTAACACTTTACTTAAAGCCTTTATGTATAATGCATTATAAAATTTAAAAAGGTTAGCCTAAATTATCCACCACCATTCAAACATTTGGGGTCAGATAAATAAAATACTTTTATTTATTGATGCATTATACTGATCAAAAGTGACCATAAAGACATTTATAATCTTTACAAAAGATTTCTATTTCAAATAAATGCAAAAATATTAGGCAGCACAACTTCCAGCTGGAATAAAAATAAGAAATGTTGGTAACACTTTACTTAAAGCCTTTATGTATAATGCATTATAAAAGTAGTCTTAATGCACTAATTATGCCTTGTAATGCACATTATAATGCATTGTACAATCTCATTATTAATTGTAACCACAGTTAATACATTATAATACTTACCAACTCATTGTTACACTATGTATTTTAAAATCTATTATAATAAGATATAATGTATTACAACGCACATTATGAACAATTATAATGCATTATACCCTTTAATAACCCTTTATAATGCATTATACATAAAGGCTTTAAGTAAAGTGTTACCAAAATTTTTATTTTTTATTGTTTTTGACCATCAAATCATCATGTTAAAATGATTTCTGAAAGATCTTGTACTGCTGAAGACTGGAGTAATGGCTGCTGAAAATTCAGCTTTACCATCAAATAAATAAATGACATTTTAAAATATATTCAAATAGAGAAAAGTTGTTTTAAATTTTCATATTTCAAAATATTCGTTTTTTACTGCATTTATAATCAAATAAATGCAGCCTTGGTGAGGATGAGAGAAAAAAACAAAAAACCTTTGACTGGTAGTGTACATAAACAGTAATACATAAAGTACAAATATCGGAAAGTAATAACTTGCAGTTCTACAATTCAGATACAGATCAATTCATTTGATACAATGGCCATTCATTGAGTTCATTCAGTGAAGCATTCATCAGAGCGATTCAAACGGGCAATTCCTGAGTTCATAAGTCTTTTGAACAACTCGTGACATCAGCAAACCATAGCAATACGGTTCCAGTCAACTATCTAAAAGAAGATTGTTACAAGAGTCAGAACAAAACACACACCCCTTCCTAACCAACTTAAGGCTCACCTCCTCCATCCTGCTCTGCTTTGATCTGGGCCTCCAGGTCTTCTGGGTCCACGTACTGGTAGTTCTCATCCTCCTCTGGTGGTTTGCACTTTCCACAGCAGAAACAGCAACAGCAACAGCAGCAGCAACAGGAGAAAACGGCACAGCACATGACCATAGCCTGCGGTAAAGACACAGACCCCAGATCAGAGACGTCACTCTCGGAAAGGCACATGTTTAATGTCACAGCGACAGGAGAAGTTTGCAAGATGCTACAACTGGCTACTAGTCAGTTACAATATTTGTCATGCTAGGAAGTTCGAGGAGCTTTTTGAAAGATCTAAGCTGAAACAAAAGGGAATTGATTGGCAAAAACAAAGCACATCAGCATTCATTTATAGCTTTGTAGATCAAAACAGGCTGATGCATTTTAATCAGGCTCAGCTGTCTTGCTTTCTGCATTAAGCCTATTTGAGAAAATGATCACATGTGGCTCAAAAGCCACTATCATTTGTAAAGTAAATTCAAAATGTAGCATCTCAAAGAGAACAAAGCTCGCTAAATAATGTCTGTTCTATTCAGATTGTCGGAGCAGATTGGGGTGACACCAATTTCTTTCTGCAATCATTCTGCTCTATTCTCAATTCAATTTCCATTGCCTACTCATCGCTTCTAGTGACAGAAACCCACCAAGGACATATAGCACTAAACAACGTTTATTTTTGATCATCTTTCTAATAATACTTCATAAACAGAATTTTAAAAAAATTCACACCAAGAAAAACTATGTAATTCCTTATTTCTTTAAAACAGTATCTGTAAGTTAACCAACCCTCTACATTGCGAGTAAATCACTCGCATATGCGACTAAATCTTACTCTGGGCAACTAAATGATGTCTAATATTAGCCAATGGCTAATAAATTCTCAGATTTTACTCGCCAGTGTGTGAGTTGGATGCTGAGTATATGATTAGCACAGACATATTTTCACTCGCCGAACACTCTGACTGAGCGCTTCAGAGTTTCACTCTTCGTCAAGCGATCTGTGATATTTTTCAGTTCATCTCAATGGATTCGCAGCGCATCTGTGTTTGTGTATTTGGCGTAACGTAAGCTCTAGTGTGAAGGCGCACGACTCGCCGTCGCTTTCTCTCACACGCGCAAAGAGAAGGAGCGAGCGAGAGTCTTACATAACATGCAGAATTGATGCGCTACATGTAAACGATATACTTTGTTGCTTTGTTGCAGTTCCTTTGGAATTCTTCAGCTTTTAAGAACTGCCAGGTTTTCCTGTAGTAGACGGAACTAATGCGCAAACGACAATCTCATTGGCTGGTGCTCACCTATTATCGTCCCTGTTTTGATTTCAGCGAATCAGTTCGAGCAAACGCACACAACCTGATTAATATTCATGATATACTAGCCAATGGCGATTCAATTGCCAAGGTGTCCGTAGAGGGTTGTTAACATCACTTCAGAATGTCAGTTTAGGTCAACACACTTTGTTTACAGTAAAGACAATCTGTAACATAGAGTTTTTATTTACTGATGCATAATAAAGTTGTTTATAGGGAAATGACCTTGAACCACCACTTCGACATGAGGAAATAGTATTTGACACTCTCTTCTCCAAACTGCTCGGACACGTAGAGCCCCATGGAGCCATATTCATCGTAGATCTTGCGCTTGGTCTCCTCAGTGAGGATTGAGTTGGCATTGTTGATTTCTTTGAACTTTTCTGCTGCTTCGGGGTTGTCTGGATTCTTGTCTGGATGGTATTTCAGAGCCAGTTTTCTGTAAAACACTCCTGAATCTTACAACTCTGTTGCAATGATGAATCAAATGATTAATCAAATTTTGACTATCATGGTTACGCAAAATAAAAAAAAATTGAAGAAAAAAATAAACAATGAAATACACATTTTTTTTATTTGTGTATTTTGCAAAACTATGGTATACAAAATCAAAATTTGAATAATCATCTCATTATATACATATTAGGGATGCACCGAAATGAAAATTCTTGGCCGAAGCCGAAACCGAACAAAATGAAACACTGGGCCGAAAGCCGAATACGTTTTTTTTTAAAGTTTTTTTCCCCCCATGTATTTTGCCAATTTTTTCCCTCATTGCATAAATTAAATAGCCAAAATGTGCTTTTTACTATTTTGTCTTGCTTTTCAAAGAAAAAAATAAATTACAAAACAATAATTTAAAAATATTTAACACTGAACATTTTTTTACATTCTAGCAGACATTATACCAACAAAGCACAATTTAACTTAAAATTAATAAGTCAGTAAAATAATATTTTTTGGCCATCAGACCCCCTTCTTGAATAAGGCATGTATTTTTTTAAATGAAAGCAGCCTTGCTGAGCAGAAGAAACTTCTTTTAAAACATTAGAAAATATTACAGATACCAATATGAACACTGTGTGTGAATGTTATAATAAATAGAGCTGTTGTAATTATTATTATCATTATTATTGTCTTACTTTTTATTTAATTTTACAGAACAACAATAAAATTACAATACTAACATTTATGAATGTACAGATCTGCCGCGAGTTTGTGCAGTGCTGTCAGAATACATGCAATTAGGGCTGTGCGATATGGACAAAAAAAACCTATCGCGATTTCTTTGAAATATTTTTCATTCACTATTTCTAAAGAAACCTGAATAACTGCAAGTTAACGTGACAGCATTTAGTGTACCTGTAAGCTCTTTTAATGTCCTCTGCTGTGGCCCCTTTCTCCAATCCCAGCACCTTGTATAAACTGTCCCCTGTAGTGGACATCTTCCTCTGAGGCCTGTCAGAGGGCGGTTTGGCGTCTGCCATGATTCAATGCTGGAGAACAGGAAAAAAGAGACAGAATTATGCATTTGCATATTTAAACGAAAAAGTGTCCAATGGGAGCTGCTCTTCAAAGATCTCAGCATCACATTATTGACATATAAGACAATGTAGACAGCCAAAGCAAGCAGAAAGCACTCAGCTCTAGTTTAACAACACACTGTGCGAACACAAGGTGTGGCGAAGGTGAATCCTGTGTTAATGTTGGGAAAAAAAAAAAAATTTTCATATTATCATAGTTTTCATATTCTTATCCACCAGGAAATGATAAACACTACGGAGAAAACTTTTATTAGATGAGATGTTTCCTCTCATAATCACAGGATGCAATGGTGTGCAAAGCATTGGCTTCCCCATTCTCAATGTCTTTGCTTAAGATGATTATGTTTTGCTGATCTCACAGATGACAACTCCATGTTGACAAAGACTATTAGGCGCTTGTACACACATGACACCTTCCCTGATCATGAAAGCCTATTTTAAGCGATTTAAAAAACTAAAGAGTGGATCTTTTTGAGACATACCTGTTGAACCACATCATCACCACCACTATTGTGTAATTAATAATTCTCAAGTTTAAACTAGCACACATTCCTTAACCTTTGACATTTGAAATGTTAGGAAAGATTTCAAATAAATGCTGTTCTTTTAACTTTCTACTCCTCAAAGAATCCTGAAAAAAAAAAAATGTTTTACGGTTTCCACAAAGACATTAAGCAGCACAACCGTTTTCAACATTGATAATAATAAACAATGTTTTTGAGAAGGATCATGTGACACTAAAGACTGCTGAAATTTCAGCTTTGCCATTACAAATATAACTCATTCTTTAGACAGTCTTACAAATGTTTATTTAGGAAATAATTGGATTTTACACTAAAAAAAACCTACAGCTGCACTATTTTATCTTTCCCTGTTACAAACTACTAAGCCAAAGTGACTTTTGAAGCTTGAAATAATTCAATTCATTCATTTGAGAAAAGGTTGGAGGCAGTTAACAGATGACCACACTGCCAGAGGTATCACAGGCTGTTAAAACAATCATAAGACAGATTGACATTTTCATTAAAAAACGCAGTACACTAGAAAGCCAAACAATCACCCGTATCAGACTGCAGCTGTGCGAGTTTCAGATGAACCTCTGTTCATCAAGCTGTAAGCTTATCCCAGGCTTAACGCTACAGTCAATGTATTTCAGATGAATCTAGCGGCTGTGTCATGTCTAATGAGAAAGCACACTAATCACACAGGTCACTTTCTTCCAGATGATGACAACTGGCTCAAAGCTCCTAAATGAAGCAGTGTCACATGATGAAGCTGATACAACTTTATATGCCAATTCAAACCTCATGCAACTTACATCAACACTCAGTTTACTGGGAAGCACAAAATTGTTAGAAAATGAACAACAAGCTCTTTACAAGCCAAGGTAGCTAATATAATAACATGATTTTCATAATTCTACCAGATGTTTGAAGATGGCTTTGAGGTCCTAAGAAAAAGCCGAATACTTTCATTCGGCAGTAAAATATTTATAATGTTACAAAAAAATGTATTATGGTTTCCACAAAAATATGTTTAACATAACACCAAATCAGCATATTAAAATGATTCCTGAAGGATCATGTGACATTGAAGACTGAATTAATGTCTGATGAAAATTCAGCTTTTCCTCAGCTTTTTTACTGAACATAAATTGTCAAATGCCTTGGAATTAAAGTATTTAAGGGGTTAGTTCAGCCAAAAATGAAAATTAGGCTGCGTTTCACTCACCCCCGATGCATCTTAGCCTTAAATGTTTTCATTTTAACATTACTTTAGCACCATTGTGGGTTAAATAATCTTTAAAAGGACCAGTGCGTGATTTAATCAAAACATAATAAATACTGATTTCAATTTCATTCCAATTCCAAGACCAGGTAAGCATGTGTCTTGTCCAATCTTGATTGACAAACAGGTTATTAATAATGACATGTATCAAAAACTATAATACTGCTCAAAACAGCTTTTCAAAAAGACGTAGAAAACAGTAGTTATTAGAAATAGTCACATCCTTTGCTCAACTTCATTGGCTTTCACAACAGTTCTACGTCAATAGTTTCTATGCACTTGTCAACAAATACATACAGTTAAAGAAAAATGCGTTAACTCCTACTCGTTGCATCCAAACACATCTGGGTTGCGTCTTGTGACGTCATGTGTCCATTGATAATGTTTATTTTTATCCTGTCGTGGATATGCATCTGAGGTATTATCATAGTCATCATATTTACACTACTTGTTGGCTGTTGTAACAGGCGTGTGTCCTTGCAAAACTATAATCCAGTCTTAACCCAGTACAGATTACTATCCCATTCAGACCTTGTATTTTCCTTCAATCTCACAGTTTAACCATGACCTGTTTGGTTTGACCTGGACAAGAACAACTACAAATAATCTCTAAAGCTCAGTTAACACAGGTAAACATGGAGTTTATTCATCTTTATTATTGGTAAATCTGGACAGATCTGAGAGGAAAGCACGAGACTCGACTGGCCAATTCACATCTAACGTTAACGTAGTGACAACAAAAACACGGAATATATAACCTTCAACGGATTTACATTCATTAAACACATATTATGAAATCCACACATGATGTTAACTGGTTTATGAGTTCGTTATGAATTTGCAATTACTTATATCGATAAAACAAACGGCTGACTAGGCAGTTAGCATTAGCACGCCTAACTAGCCACGATAACAGATTTCTGTTTAATTTGAGCAGCAAATTTAAACACAGTCGATTTAAACTCACCTTGAACTGGGTGGTAATATGATATAATCAATTGTGGCTGAATCATAGAGGACTCAGCCGAATGGTTCTTTAGATATCCGATGTACAGCTCCTCATTGCTATCGCCGCATGTCCTCCCTTGAAAGCGTAGAGCGCTCCGAGGACGCGCTTGATTATTTGAGTCGACTCTTTGAACTGAATCGCCAACATGTTCGACTCCCTTGAAAGAGGGTGCGTAGGGGCACGATTGATTCATTCGAATCAAATCTTTAGCGGAGTCGACTCTCGTTTAATGGATTATGACCGTAGAATGCCATTGGGCGTAATCGATGCTTTGACTTTGATCTACGCAAATGACTCCGGACCAATTCTATCGTGAATGGTTAACGTTAGCAAAGAACTTCCATACTGTTTGACATCAATCAAGGCAAGAATACACATTAAACGCACCGCACATAAACAGCAAGAGTTGAATTTATGATTTACAATTATACTACGTAAAATCATGTTAAAAAAAAACGGGCTTTATGTAGTTTGTTTTTCAAAATAAAAGTCTAAAGCACTGAGTTTAGTAATTGCGTTATTGAGCAGGGGGTTTCGGTTTATTTTCACAACTCAAAAATAGTAGCAATAATAATAATAATAATAAAATAAAATGATACAAATAATTATTGTACTCTAATTTATGCTCATGAGCTATTTCTTTTGATTTTGGGGATAATAATGCAAACAGTTTCGATTTTACTTTTAGGCAAGTTGTTAGCTGCAAGCATACAATATCCTGCCAGTTCCTAAAGCAACACATACCCATTTCTTCCCAATTTGACAGACGTAATTTGTGTACTTGCACTTATTTTTCTTATGCAATTAATTTAGTATAGGACAATGTCACCAAAAAAAATGTATAATGTAGAATACATTGAGTAAAAGAGTTCATTTATTCCATTTTACCGCCTACCAACAGATCAGGTGATTTACTGATATTCTCTCCCTTCATTTGTACCAGTACACAGAATGACAGAGATATGGAAAAGCAGAGAAAGATCTGAGGTTGCATTTTATTGTCTAAAAATACAATTACAAAAGTTTTACTCCGTAATGAACAATCTTCCTACCATACTGTATCTGCACTAGTATTTGCACAAAGTAGATTGAGTTACAAAAGTCTGGTCCCCTACTGGAATGTCCAAATGAACATGATCACATGTAAAGATGTCTATATATTGTTGTAAACGCACAACAACAAAAAACATACAGCATTTACATTAATACTATACCAGTTAGTGATGTAGTAGTACAATTGTTTATTGTATAATTGTTTGCTAAATTTTGCTGATTTTTAAGTGAAATGAAGAAACTGAGCAACCCGCTACTTTCAAGTGCTACATTAATGTAACTATCTCAGATATTTAGGATGAAACTAGTTTAACCACACTGCACTGTGTTTGCTTTAATGTGCGTGTTTTAAATCAAATACTCAACGTATGGAATTTTATTGCAGTCAGTACTGAAAGGAACAATAAATCTGGGTACTTTATCTCACAAAATCTCACCTACTGGAACTATATGGAGAGTACACAGAATGAACACCAGTCACGGAATCAGTATGTTGCTAACAAAATATTTCCCTTTACTGCCAAATGTCCAAGAATAGACTATGATGGTCCCTTCACCGACCCAGCACGGTAGCCAGCAGTGCCATCCGAATATACATCCCATTCTCAGCCTGCCGGAAGTAAGCAGCCCGAGGATCCGTGTCCACTTCCACACTAAAAACAAAATACGATTAGGAAAGACTGCAAGCAAAACTCTGTATTTAACACTCCAGTTCATGTAACTTCCTACTTTGCCTGCTTAAAATTTGATTTCATCCTGATGCATTGAATTAAGAATAGCAAACCTGATCTCATTGACTCTGGGAAGCGGATGCATAACAACCATCTTCCTTTTGGCTCCAGTCATGATGTGTGGGGTGAGGATGAACTGGCCAAAACACTGTCAGGAGGAGCAAATCATTAATAATATGCTGATATTTAAGACATAAAAGCAGATGCAATGATCTTCTCGGCAAAATTTCCCACCGCTTTGTACTCTTCTTCAGAGGCGAATCGCTCCTTCTGTATTCTGGTCATGTACAGGACGTCAGTCTCTGGAAGGGCCTCTTCAATGCTGTTAAACTCCTCCTGTGGATATAGTTAGAGAAGTTTAGACATTTAAGAGAAAAGAAAAGCAATGCAAATAAACGAGAAGCACCCAAGTATGGTCTATATAAACACACCTGTTTAATGCCTTTGGAGGCCACAAAATCGATGATTTCGGCAGGCATGCTGAGGTCCTTGGGGGCCACGTAACGCAAGGTGATCCTGTACTGAGTGAGAAGTCTAGCCAGAGAATGCACGGTGCGGCCATGTTTCAGGTCGCCTACCATGGTAATCTGAGATTTAAGAAAAAAAGATCCAAAAATGACACAAGACAGTAATCATCAACTGAGCATCACAACCGGAGCAACACTGCAACATTCTGTTTGGAGATGCTAGTGGCACAGAAATTACACACTTCAGCTCCAAGTGGAAATCTCAACAAGCTAGTAGTTTAAGAATGCAATATTTTTCCCCCGTGTACTCACAGTCATGCCATTGACTGTTCCCAGCTCCTCTCGGATTGTAAAGATATCCAGAAGGGCCTGAGTTGGATGTTCTCCAACCCCATCACCAGCGTTGATCACTGGCCGCCGACAATGCCTTGCTGCACTCTACAAACCAGAAGCATTTTCTTGTTTAGACTGACGCACAGATCAATTTGTTTTAGCAAACGCTAACATATATAAATGCATTTTATTGATGGAAAAAAAAAAACATAACATGCATAACATACACTGATGAATCTCACACAGAAAGGCATGGAATATTTATAAAGGGGTCAATTTTGATGTCATGTTGTCTACTCTTCAAAAGGGTTTTTTTGGGAAAAATTTATACTTTTTTTCATCATAGATGCATTAAATTGATCAAAAGTGACAAATATGTCTGTTTTCTACTACAAAAGATTTCCATTACAAATAAACCGCATTTATGACACTGAATACTGGAGTAATGCCTGCTGAAAATTCTGCTATTAATGCATTAACATTTGACTCACTTCTACAGCTCCAGGTATGGGGTGGCGCAGAACAATGACATCAGTGTAGCAGCTCATGGTGTGAACAGAATCAGCCAGAGACTCGCCCTTCTGCGTGGAGGAGGTGGACTCATTGAAATGCACCACTGACCCTCCCAGACGGTGCATGGCTGCTGCGAACGAACTGCAGGTGCGAGTGCTCACCTCGTAGAACATGGAGGCCATGACTTTACCCTGGGAGAAGATGAGCAGAATGGAATTAAATCAAGAGTTTAAAACAACTTATTTCATCTGTTTAAGACATCTCCTTCAGCAAGAGGTTGTTTCCAAAGGCCACAGATGCCCATTGAGGCAGATATCTACTTCAAACTGACACGTCACTGCCAGATTGAACAACACCCTGTCTTCCAGACTGCTGCTGACTTGAGCATTTAAATACTCCTGCTGAGGAGGTTTATGCAATGAATGCTCAAGATGGGCTGTAATAAACTATAAATCATCCAGTGACATCTACTCTACTATTGGACAGAATGACTGAGTAATCAAAAGGTATTGTGGTCTACAGGTTGAATCAAGGTCCAATTTGCTCATTCCACACTTTCAAATAAGAATTCTGGATCCTTAATTCCATTGCAAAGTCCATTCCATTAGTAGGAGACTCACCATCTACCTTTAGACAACTTGTCCTCGCTTTCTCTCTCTTTCGTATATTATATATACACATATACACACTACTGTTCAAACGTTTGGGGTCTGTAAGTTTTTGTAAGATCTTACTTATTAATGCTCACTAAGGCTGCATATATTATATCGAAATACAGTAAAAACTAATATTATGAAATATTAGAATTTCAAATAAATGTAATATTTTACAATCTAACTTTTTCCTGTGACGCAAAGCTATAACATGTCAGCCATGATTTGCTGTTCAAAAGCAGTCAATATTCTTCAATGCTGTTTTGTTGAAATATTTTTGTGGAAAGTGTTATACTTTTAGGAATCACTGATGACTACAAAGCTCAAATATTTGTTTTTATTTAACTTTATTTGATATCTATCTATACATCTATTTATCTATAGAATCCATCCATCCATCCATCTCTCCATCCATCCAGGCACGTGCACACAGACAAAGGGGGCTTGAGTACCTGCCCTTTTTCTTCCTTGAGATAAAATGCCCTTTTTTCTGTGGGGTTTTTTTTTTTTTTTAAATAAATGAATGTATGTATATATATATATATATATATGTGCACGTGTGTGTTTCTGTTTGCGCACAGCTTTCCCTGTCAAACAAATAAAAAAATCCAAATATCAGGTCAGGTCAGGAAATGTTAAGACTCGCGTCTCTGCAGCACAGCAGTGTTGCACACATTGATCAGCTGCACATCACTGACAGGCAGAGAGCCACAGAAGTGAAGCCCTCTCTCCCTTTCCAGTTGTGGAGGTGAGTGGTGATGAACAACAGAGTAAGCTATCGGTGCCTCGAATTTACAGCTAATTATCCAAAAAACAAAAGGCAATTATAGTTAATTTGTCTTACTAACATCCATGACTCATGAGAGAGCTACCATGTGGGTTAGACCAGTGCGCGTTCTTTCCCTGCATGATTCAGTTGATTAAAATGAATTTAGAACATTTTAGACACAATATTGACTGTTTTTGCTCTATTTCGCCAATAAATATAATTCCAATTTGAGTCTCTGAGCAACATGATGCTGTTTTGTTCCTGAATGAATCAACCGTTTAAATGATTCGGTTCAATCGCAACAACACACTTATTAACAGTGACTTGCTGCCACCTACTGGCGGTTTTAATTTCACATTTAAAATATCTTTTCTTTTTTTTTTTTAAAGTGATTACAAATATCATTATTCAACGTTTTATATGTTTAAAATATCAAAACAGTATTAATGCATTTGTAACTGCAGGTTAAACGTTCATGTCCTGCATTAAACAGAGTGTAAATGCATCTAAATGCCCCTTTCTAATGCAGCTTTTGTTTTCTCTGCATTGCAGATTAAATTTGTCAATACTGATTTCATTTGCTTGGTAACAGCCCAA